TTTTTTTTTTTTTAACAATTTCTGATTTTTATGTTACAATGTGAAAATAAACATTATAAAATCCAGAAAAAGAACAACTTGAATAAACATGTCAACACCTTTTTACCCCTTCAGCCCCATGGTACTTCTTGCTTTGTTGCTTTTTCTTTTCAAATTTTTGGCTCATACGCTTTCACAACTGTGGTGTTTTAACAAAACAGTAGAGCACGTGTTGTTATGCAGAACCCAAAATTTTTTATTCAAAACCATAATTGACCCTAAAATACATGAATTCTTGCCATTGTGAGAAACTAGGATAGATAAATGAACCTCAAATATTTATTGAGGTACTTTTTCACTTATAATGTGCAGTATTTGTGTATGTCAGCACCAGGATGCTGCAGATGAAGCCTGGGCAGGTGAAGGAAGAAGTAGAAGTCCCAACCTTGAGCCTCCCCAGCATACTCTTAAAATTCATTTTTAAATCTGTTTTTAATTAATCTGTTATGTAAAAATGCCCCCCACCTCAACACACAGGTATCTGACTTCACGGGGATTCTGTCCATTTTACATCTTTATGGGGAATCTATGGAAAGGAATGCCCCAAACCACTTCTCCTTGTCTGTGCGGACTGACTTAAGTTTACCTTGCAATTGGGCAATAGTATCTCATTCTAAATAGTTTTAGGCCCACAGTGGAAGAAAGATTTTTTTTTTCTTACCAAGTCACTTCTTTAGGGACTACTAACAGTATCTTAACACTGTCTTATTTTGGTGGGGAAGAAGAAAAAATGTATTTATGCCAGAAATTACGTTCCTGTTTTTTTCCACACATAAATACTTCTAAAGTACCTGTCAGTGACTGGAACACAGTTGTAAAGTTGTAAAGTTGTAAGATAGCGCTATACCTCTCCTGAAAAAGGACAGGAGGCCCTCCCTGGTGGCGAGCTGGTTAAAGCATAGCACGAGGAAGTTAAAGCCACTTCCTCATGAGTTCGATCCCCGCCTGCCCCAGAGGTGACCACATGGCGTGGCAGACCTCTCCTGACCCGCCCGCTGCTCCCCTCAGCAGTGTACTTCCTCGATCTGCCTGTTCTGCTCCCCACTAGGTCTCTGGTGAATCCTCTCACTATCCCTGTGCCTCTGGCCTGTACCCCAGTTCTGTATGTACAAATAAATCTTTTTTTAAAAAAAAAAAAAAAAGGGCAGGAAGGGTTTGGGTCCTGTGTTGATTAGAAAATGATATAGCATATGCTTTGTCCCTAATTAGCCACTAGCGTTACCACACACTCAGGTCTTTGCAGCCAATACTATTTTTGACAAGTAAGTATTATATGCTAACTTTTCTCTATCCTTAACAATTCTGTCTTATTAGAGCTTTGAAATGTTAGATTACATGTGACAAAAGTGTGGCACATAAGACTACTTTTGCCTGCTCTGAAGTTCAGGTGCACGTCTGGGAATGACATCCATGTGAGTGCTGGAAGCCATAAAGGAGTGATGTTATCTTAAGCCAGCAGGATGGCACAGGCTGCAGACATGAATAATGCAATTTCTCTGCCTAAAATTATTTTCTTACCTAAGTTCTTTCCATTGTTCTTAGACCCATTCTGTGTAATCATACTAAGCCCAAACTATACCTAATCATTTTATTATCTAGTTTTCTCCTAGCCAGAAAGTCTTCACATCATATCCACATATCTGCATGTGTTAAATTTGCAATTTTTAATAAAACTGAGTTATTTGGAGTATTGTCAAAAGTCTTTCCCATAAAATATCCTCCATTGGGATGAGCCACTATCTGTCATTAGTTTATCTCAAGCTGTGGGATATCTGCCTGGTAACTTCCCAGGACATTGTGTGCTGCAGTCATGTGTATAAGCCACTTATCAGAAAGGAGTTTAAGAAAAAGCAGAGTCAGAGCTTTACTGCCCTTAAAAATATGGTCTAGCCATTGCTTACTCAGTTATACACTACTACTTTTCTGCATGGCATAAAATCCTCAACAAAGTACCCCACTTATTGTGCTGTACACTGGATGGAAGAACGGAGGTCGGGGATAAAATGCCAACTGCCATTCTGTCAGTAAAACTGATACAGGTTAGATGACGACATGTAGCAGAGGTTAATTAACAAAAGGGCTCAACAACATGTAACAGTAGAAGTTAGGAACCTCTGATTATATGCTAACTCAGTCGCACAAATAATATAATGTCACTGCTCTTAATGTTCTGAGAAACATAGGTGCTGTTTGTTTCAGCCTGGCCTGCTGGTCCAAAGAGACTTAATGTTTAATCTTGAAAGAATCCAAGTGAGTTGATTAAAAATAGGGCCTCCTTGAGTCCTTTTATCAAAGTGTAAAACTTGAAAATCAGTATGTGTGTGAGATACACGGAAAATCTCGTCAATGTATAAATGTTTATAACTAAAAAAAAATTAATTTTGAATGATTCTGAGTCATTTTCAATTGAGAAGTATGTCCCAAAAAATACAAAACAATAAACCCACAGATCCTTAACAACTTCTTCTAAAAATCCTATGTAAAAATTCTTTTCTTCATTTTCTTTATTATCTGATAGAATAGTTCACAAGTCAAAATGTTTCAGTTCGGTGTGATACTGAAATTCTCATTAGAACAAAATAATTGTTACGAAGCTTTCTGAGCAGTTGTCACTGTTTTATAACATTGGTCAAATATCTAACGTTCTATTATTTGTTAATATCTGCTGCAACAAAATTCCCATCTCACAAAAAAGATTTTGAAGGACTCAAGAGTTAATAGTACAGAGTCTGGCCTGTAGTTGGATTAAAAAGGACCTGAGTTCTTAGATTTGTGATGATGCCTCTTAACCAACTTAGTCCTATAAAAGTAATTGATGAGCATGAAAAAGTTCATCATCATTGGTCACCTCTTTTTCCTTGTTTTCAGCCTGAGCCTCCTACAACAAACAAATGGCAGCTGGACAATTGGCTGACCAAGGTCAGCCAACCTGCAATGCCCCTGGATACCCTGGGGAGTACAGAGACCTCACCCCGGCACCTGGACAGTAAATCCAAGGCCTGCAGCGACGGTGGCAGGAGCACTGCTGGTCACGAGCACTCAGAATCCAAAGATCCTCCCCCTAAATCCAGCAGAGTCCCCCGGGTTCCTTCCGAAGGCCCCCATGCTGGCAAGAGACACTGTCAGAAGTCCCCTGTCCAGCAGGAACCCCTACAGAGGCAAATTGTTGGAACCAAACAACCCAAGAGACCTGTCAAGGCCTCTGCTCAGACAGACTCTGGGGCCAGCTTGCAGGTGGAAAGTGAGCTGGGACTTCTTCCCTATGGCTCCAAAGACCAGCCTTCCAAAGACAAGCCCAAGGTGAAGACGAAAGGGAGGCCCCGTGCTGGAGAAAGCAAAGAGCCCAAGCCAGCTATGCCCACTCCCAGTGACAGGAAGAAGCACAGGGGCGCCCCCCACGCCCCCTCAAAGGCGCTCTCGGGCCCAGAGCCCACGAAGGACAATGTGGAGGACAGGAGCCCTGAGCACTTTGCCCTGGTTCCCTTGACTCAGACCCAGGGTCACCCCCATGGCGGTGGGGGCAGGACTAGTGGCTGCCGTCGTGCCGTGGTGGTCCCAGAGGACCGCCGGAAGGACAAACTCTCGGTGCCTTTGAGAGACACCAAGCTGCTCTCCCAACTCAGGGACACTCCTCCCCTACAAAGCTTGATGGTGAAGATAACCCTAGACCTTCTTTCTCGGATACCCCAGCCACCTGGGAAAGGGGGCCGCCCAAAGAGACCAGAGGACAAGCAGCCACCTGCAGGGAAGAAGCTCGACCCTGAGAAGAGAAGTTCCGACAATTCAAGCAAGTTGACCAAAAAGAGAAAGGTGAGTGTGGGCAAGTGTCTCCCCGGTGGTGTGGGACATAGCCAACGTTGTTGTGGCGCTGTGGCGCTGTCTTGAACTGGCCTGTGATGGTCTCGCTAGTTGGCTCAGAAGCTGGAAGTCTGTGCTTCGTTTCCAGCCAGAGTCACTTTTTTCACTGGGCACCTGGCTGCTGCCCATTCTGTAGACAGACGTGAACGAATGCCAGGTGCCTTCAGCTGTCCTGCTAGTCTGAAAAAAGATGAAGTGATCATAGGCAGGAAATCTGGTCTTGGGAAAATGTAGAATTTTGGAGTTTTGTTTTTTCATTCTGATAACATTAGTTTTTATGGAGCACCTCACTTACTAGGTTTTACCCTATGAGTAATTTAAAACCTTAACTGAACTGAATATTGTATTCGGAGTGTCTGAAAGAATTGTTCTGTACTCTTGTAATATGATCTTCTTTAGGCTGGTAATACATTCATATTTTAAGTCATGGTCACCTAACAACTTACTAATTTGAAGCCACTAGATTTAGAATTTGTTTAGAATAACTTGTTAATAAGTGTAATATTATTTTTTAAAAAACTTTTAGGTGTATTAAATATGTGGGTTAGGTGCATTGTGAAGTATTGAAAATGTCATTTATCACAAATTTAGGAGGTTTCATGTTGGAAATGAACAAAGTAAAGAAAATAAACACTACATTATTTAAGCTCTTCCATCACTTGAACTCACCACTATTTTAGATAGCTTCCTTCCTTTATATGAGTCATTGAACTCTTGATATATTCTTTGCTGCTTCTTCCTGATGAAAGGTTACTGTGTTTCCCTCAGTGGCCTTTTTAAGCCAACTTCTGCTATATTCAAAATGAAAGATGCATCACTTCTCGGCCTTTTGGCTAAGACCAAGTGCAAAATGCAAGATGCAAGAAGAACCAGTTCTTTCCTGCTGAGAAGGAATAAATATTCTAACACTGCCTAAGTACACAAAAACTTTTTTTTCTGTTGTGGGAGTTGAGCTAAGAATAACAGGACAGAATGATCATGTAACCTGCTATCGTGCCTGTGATTCACCTGATTACTACACTAGATTAAAAATATAACAAAACTGTACCAGACAGGAAAGAGTGACTGTTTTCTTTAGAACCTGCTCACATGGGACATGAGAATGTATGCTGCCACCATAATTGTAGCCACAAGTTGAGTGGGAAGGGATCGTGGTGGTAAAGTATAGCTAGACGAGAGCTGCTTCCTGCCTATGACTTTTAAAACTCAACGTGCAGGCATGTGTGCATGTGTGTGCCTGTGTGTGTGTGTTAAAGGTGTGAAGCTTTGTGGAAGGAAAGTCTGCTCCTAACATACTTGAGAAAATTTCAAAAATAGACTCATTTTCTCCTCTTATTTATCCCCCTGCTATCTTGTCTTCTCTAGTCCCTAGAGCTAACCTTTTGCTGGTTAGAGGACGACAAAGTATTAGCAGCTAAAATCCTTACTAGAATTTGCATTAGAATTTTGAGGCTGCCTCATACAGCCTCAGATTAGTTCCACTGCATGTCTAGAGACCTCATTTGTAGCTCCAGAATGGGGAGGCTCCACTCTGCTGTTGAATGTATGGACTGCACCCTCTAAAAGCCATCCCCAGCCCTTCGTACCACTAGGGAAAGTTATTGATCTTGCTGTTCAGAGGATGGAGAAGTAATGGCCATGTTGTGCTACTGCTCTGGCAAGCAGCTAAGAGCGCTGGCCCTGGTTTATGCTGTAGGACTCGGGGTGTGAACCAGTGTTTCGCAGTCTTACATGTGTGTGTTGTTGACCTGGGAGCCTTTACTATTCATGGTAGGATGTGGGTCTTATCCCCATGCCCCCAAGCCCCACATGAGGTTTTTTTTTTTAATCCCCAGGTAATCCTTAAGTCTTGGGAGTAGAAACTACTGGAGCAGGGACAAGATCATGCAGTGTTCTTTAGAGCTCCTTATAGACATTATGGATCTAGCATCTTGGAAGCTCTTGCCCTGAATTATGTCACTAGTTAAAAATACTATTTAATAATGACATTTTTGAGTAAAACATGTAGAAATTATCCAATTATACTTATTTCATGATAAGAGAACCATGTCATTTGTTTTCACGTCCCACTAGATTCCAAGTACTATCAGTATTGAACATACTAATCTCAGATCATTTCCTGTGCGTGTGTGGGCGGGGAGGCAGGCCAGCTATCCCTTCTCTGTCAGGACCCTGGCTCCATTTGTTTTGGGCATTAAGTTTGTCACCCTGTAGCCAGCACTCCTGCCTACACTGCATGCCTCAGGCAGGACAGCACTCTCTTTAAACTTAACGCTTTCCCCAAATTTGTTCATTTTTTTGTCTTTTTTTTTAAGATTTATTTGTGCATACAGAACTGGGGTACAGGCCAGAGGGTGCAGGGGAGGTGAGAGGGTTCACCAGAGACTGAGTGGGGAGCAGAACAGGCAGATCAATGAAGTACACTGCTGAGGGGAGCAGCGGGCGGGTCAGGAGAGGTCTGCCGTGCCATGTGGTCACCTCTGGGGCAGGGATCCAACTCATGCTGAAGTGGCTTCAGCCTCTTAGTGCTGTGCTTTAACCTGCTGAGCCTCCAGGGAGGGCCCCATTTTTTGTCACTTTAAATGTGAACATTAGGAAAAGCTCTCTGAAGATGTAGTGAGAGCAACTGGAGAATGTGCCCAAGCCTTCCCGCTAGTGGAATTTAGTGTTATGGAAAGACCCTCTAGTGTCTCTCTCTCCTGGTATGAACTTTAGTATTTTCAAGGGGGCACCAGACTGGAGATTTCAAAATGTGATATTAGATAAAAACTGATGAGTACACTAGATGTAGCACTAGAAATGTCCACTTACATATTTTCTACTTTGGAAAAGTAGGTATAGAATAGTTCATGAGGAAAAGAGGCAAAAACTGTGTGGGTCAGTAGGCATGAGTTCACTTAGTGCTCCTCACACAAGCTACAGATTTTCTTCAACCTGATTATAGTGTAGAATTGAAAATACAATTTTTTAATCTCTTTCTCCGTAGCGTTTAAACCGAGCTTATGTTTTCCAGACTTGGGAGCAAAGCTGAAGCTCAGAAATACAGTATGACAGGCTGGTGCATGTAGAGAGTGGCCACAGCAAGCACGCGCAGGGCTCGGCGATGTTCTGGGCACCTTGCAGCGCTGACTGCATTTAAGCAGCCATTTTGGGGCGTGCCTTTCAAATAAAATGTGAGACCGTCCCGAGCAGTCATATAGACAAATGCTGAACTGGGAATTAATTTCACTCACTTCCACCTTGCATTTTCTAAATAAATGCCTTTCTGATCAAGAAGCCTTGGCATTTTAGGAAAACAATGTTCAGTGCCATCATTTATGTATGTTTTGAACAATAGGGAAGTTAGTGGGTCATGGCCAGAAGTATGTGTTTGTCTTGCCTGAAGTTCCGTCCTTCCCTTCCTCTAAGAGCTGACTCTTTTGGGCCTTGTTTCTCTATAGCAGCATCCCTGCTTATTGTCCTTCATAATCAAGGATTTGAAAAGGCCTCTCCTGTAATTTCCTGAAGCTACTAATCTGTAATTTCTTCATGCCTATTTGGTTACCCTGAGAAGAACACTGTAACTAGATGCATGTGATAGCTAAGACTGTCTGATGTAGCACTAAGACTGTAGATGTAGCACTAGAGGCATTACAATATCTGTTTCCTCATCAAAAAGGAAAAAGAGAATTAATTTTCTGTAGTATGTATCCCAGTGAATATAACGTGTTTTCTTATCATTAATTCTCTGTACTCAGGCTTGATACTAACTTGGATGCAATGTTGACTGTCTTCTTACCAACCTTTTGCAAAGATAATTCTCAGGAAAATACAGATATTTCCATAAAGTCCACTTCTCTAGTTTTCCTGTGACCCATGTGTAACCAAGCTCATTTGCTTTTCTTTTCTTTGTTAAGATTGATTTTTTTTAATGCATCTAAGAACTGGGGTACAGGCAGTAGAGGTGCAGGGGTTGAGAAGATTCACTGGAGACAGTGGGGAGCAGAATAGGCAGATCGTCCAAAATAGACTGCTGAAGGGAGCAGCAGGCAGTCAGGGGAGGTCTACTGTGCCATGTGGGTCAGCATCAAGTGTGTATGTGGGGATTCTGGAAGAGGTGCAAATCATAGTTCAAGATCAGTGGTAGGGACTCTGGCAGTGACTGTATCATCTCTGGCTCAGGCCTTCCTCTGTCCCCTCCTGCTCCGCAAAACCCCCCAACGCAACTCCTTTTAATTTCCCTTTAGGTTTCTCCCCATCTCCCTAACACAGCCAAGTTCCTCGTAGACTCTTTCTCTATACCCATTATAAATTCGTAGACTCTTTCTCTATACCCATTATAAATTCCCCCAAGGGAATCAATTTTGAAAAACCTGCCGTCATGTCTCCATAGCTACCTAGACGTCACACAGACAGATTTGTGAAATGAGCTAGATCCTGAGGCTGGCACCAGGCTGCCCAAAGGCATTCTCTTCCAGAGACCATCTTGGCCTCTCCCAGGGTTATCTCTTTCTTTCATGGTTTTCATTCTTGCTTCACTCAGTAGGTCAAATAGCATTTAGCAGATAATCTGTGATTGCCTGACCTACCCTGTTCAAGTGGATCAGTATCTGATCGTTGTCTGCAGCCTTCTTTTGTAGATGCAGGCACACCTCTGGGACTCTTGTGCTTCTTCCAAAACCCAAAACTTAGAGGTCATTTCTGCAGAGAGCTTGATCTGCGTGTAAGCTGACGGGTAAAGGAGATCTATTTTTCCTCCTAAACAGAGAGTACGTCTCATCTCATTTTCAGATTGTTTCTTGACCCAGAACGAACTGTCTTCTGTTTTCTTTCTTGGAAATTCAAGGCTTTATTTCCTGCCCCCAGAACTGCATACCCCCCTCTTGGATGGTCCTTTTTTAAATCTGGCTACTTAATGTTGTAGTGCAGCCCTGCCTCTGGGGACCTCAGCCATGCCCCTCAGCTGCTAAATTTAATTTCCATGCCACTTGACAAATACTGAGTGCTGCTCTGGGGAGGCCTCTGTGAGTGTTCCAGATAGATGATGACAGTCTTCCAAGTGTGTAGTGTACAAAACACAAACCTCATTCCCACAGGCAAAACCAACAGAAGAGGATTTGGGTATTACTTGGTTTAATGGCTTACTTTCTCTAAGCTTACAGATTATGATTGGCTTCTCAGTTGCTAAATATTTATATAAAGCATATTCCAGAAAGTGACAACAGCGGTCATAAGTGTGAGCGTTAAGTAAGTATTTGGTGTTTTCTTGAGTTTGGGCAGTTCTTTCAAGTCACAGGTTGGCCCAGGGTGGAGTTATGAACAATTTTGAGGGTTGACTCACCGTGAATCTTATTTTTATGTATGGTTTGTAAGGTCTGCCACTTTGGTATATGGTCATAATTTTGCAAATTTTAAGCAGCATGAAAATACACAAACAGAAATTAACTGTCATTCCACTTCTGGGGCTTGGTATTTTCTTCAGGAAGTAACCTTGAGGAAGATTTTTTGCTAGTTCTACCCTAGGGACTTAACCTGTGATTCACTAACTGCCTGGAAATAAATCCCTTCCACTGAAAACGGTATATGTTACTGGCTACTACTCATGTACTAATATCTGTCTGAATAGTTCAGCAAATTCTGTGACTTTGGGCCCTCCCTGGTGGCAAAATAGGGTAGCACTGCAAGCTAGCTGCAGCCTCTTCAGTGAGAGTTCCATCCTCTGCCC